TGCGTGATGAGATCAGCGACAGTGGGAAAGGCGGCAAGGTCAGGGAAGAGGAAGGGGAGCATGAGGCGGCTCAGTGCAGCAGTGGCAGGGGAGGAGTAGCGCGCAACTACAGCGTCGTACAAGGTCTGAGCACTCTTGTACTGGCTAAAGTGCGCGCGCTCAGCGGTAGGCAGGTGGCGACGCACAGCAAGACGTGCAGCAGCATCGCGCGTGGCCCACTGAGAGCGAACAGTGGCGTCAGCATCAGCAGCAGGGGCAGGGACAGCGCCAGAGGTGAGGTCAAAGAGAGACAGACTGTCGGCCCTGTCGCACTATAAAAACAGCTGCAGGTCGTCGAGCCAGACCTCAAAGTCAATGGCTCGACCCTCAGCGTCAAAAGCGAGGACACTGGGTGTAGCCATGACGACGACAGTGGCGCAGTGCAAGCAGTAGGGGAAGGGTACGCAGTGACAGCAGTGCAGTGCTCACCGGGCAGGGCAGGTCGGGCGGCTCGGGAGGAAGGTCGCCAGACGACACGGCCGCTAGGCTGCTGGGCGGCTCGGCTCCCGGGCGGCTCGGCTGCTGCTGGGCGGCTCCGCTGCTGCTGGGCGGCTCGGCGGCTCCTGGGCGGCTCGGCTGCTGCTGGGCGGCTTGGCTGTTGCTGGGCGGCTCGGTGGCTCCTGGGCGGCTCGGCTGCTGCTGGGCGGCTCGGCGGCTCCGGGCGGCGCGGCTGCTGCTGGGCGGCTCGGCTGCTGCTGGGCGGCTCGGCTGCTGCTGGGCGGCTCGGCTGCTGCTGGGCGGCTCGGTTGCTCCGGGCGGCTCGGCTGCTACTGGGCCGCGTAGGTAGGGCGGCCGCGCGGGCCGCAGGTAGGGCGGCGGGTAGGCCGCAGGTAGGGCGGCGGGACGGCCGCAGGTAGGGCGGCGGACGGCCGCAGGTAGGGCGGCGGGTAGGCCGCAGGTAAGGCGGCGGGTAGGCCGCAGGTAGGGCGGCGGGACGGCCGCAGATAGGGCGGCGGACGGCCGCAGTTAGGGCGGCGGGTAGGCCACAGGTAGGGCGGCGGGACGGCCGCAGGTAGGGTGGCGGACGGCCGCAGGTAGGGCGGCGGGGAGGGCGCAGGTAGGGCGGCGGGTGGGCCGCGACTGGTTGGCGGGGCCGCGACGGAGTGGCGGGGCCGCTCGAAAGGGTGGCGGGGCCGCGACGGAGTGGCGGGGCCGCGACAAAGGGGCGGGGCCGCTCGAAGGGGGTGGCGGGGCCGCTACGGAGTGGCGGGGCCGCGCTTAGGGGTAGCGGGGCCGCGACTGGGTGGCGGGGCCGCGACGGGGCGGCGGGGCCGCTAGCGAGGGCGGCGGGTGGGCCGCTAAGGTAGGGCGGCGGCCGGGCCGCGAGTAGGAACAGGGCGACTCGAAGGGTCGCTAAAAAAAAGGCGCGCGCCTCGGGCGCGCTTCGGTGGGCCCTAAAGAACAGTCCCTAGGATGGGACCTGCTCTGATTCCATGTGAAGAAAGGAACGTGAATGAATTGACTACGAACGAGGTGAGTACAAATAGGAAACCCTAATTGGTTTGTACCCCCTATGGGATACCCCACTATAGCCTACACAAACAAGTAAGCTATAATGTTCTGACAAATCACGCCCGAGTAAAATATCGGTTCCGTCGAGGGTCGTTGCGAGCATTTCCTGGCTAAACGTGAAGTTACCCCCACATCGAATCCGAACCGCGTTCCCGTATCGCCAGCGGCGTGCCGTCTACCAGTCTTGCGTCGATCTCAGGTAAAAATCTGTCCAGTGGAAGTCGCAGTTTTCGTGCTGTGGCAGTGTTGATGAGGCTGTGGCTGGCTCCCTCGTCTACGAAGATTTTAACTAAGTCCGTCCCGATTTTCCCACTAAGCAGTATGGGGGTGTCTACCGTAGAACCCTCCTTACTCGGCCGGGTGTGGTCGATTGCGTGAACCGGCACAATCACTCGGTGAGGGTCGGTTGGGTCGGGCGAGCGGCGTGACTTGTCAGTAGAGGGCCCGTCTGCTACTGACTCCCAGCGTTTCCCTGCTGCTTGGTCTGTTTCCGCTGCTCAACTTCCCCCTTTCCCTTTGCGTTTTCCGGGCATTCGCTCTTGCGATGTCCCGGCCGATTGCACGCAAAACCGCGCCCTTTGACCGGTGCGGCAGCGGCGTTTGCGGCAACGGCACGTATCGTGGCGCCCTCGTTCGTCCCACGAGGCCGATGTCCCCAATGGCTACTTCCGTAGGACCCTGGTCTCGGTCGGCGGAAGAAATCAAGTTTCTCCGCCATAGCGAGAATTTCTTGAAAGTCGGTGACGCCGCGAAGCTGGATTTCCTGAGCGATGTCCTGCTTCAGGCCGCCGATGTAGCGGTCGATGCGCTCGCTCTCGTGCATGTATCCCACCTGCTCGCATAGCGCCAGAAATCCGCTCGTGTAGTCTTGGACGGAACCGAGTTGGCGCCAAGTGCGGAGCTTCTGTCGCGCCGCGATCGAAGCCGCGATTGGCTCGAAACGAGCACACAGACCTCCGCACCACGCGTCCCACGTGCGATATTGGGGCACCTCCACGAAATACGACGGCGCCCATGGTCTGGTTTGTCCTTCCCTTGTCGGTAGAGTCGCGTAGTCTACCGGCTTCGTGACGATGACGCGCCACCAGTCCATGGCGGGTCCTCGCAGCAACGACACGGCGTAACGAATCTTCGCCGTATCTTCCGAGACGTAGTTCGCGTCGAAGAAAACGTTCAACGTGAAGAGCCACGCCTGAACGGTAGGACCACCTCGCTGACTTGGGTCAAAGCATGGCGGACGCTGCAGCTTTAGCGGCATCGGCGACGGAAGAGTTGATCCGCTGGCCGGCACTGAAATCGTGACTTGAGGCTGAGTCCTGGCCGCATTCGTCGCGTCGGGGTGTGTCGTGCCGTGGTCGTCGTCTCCGTCATGGCGGACGACGCCATCACTTGCGGCGCTCGCGGGTTGCCCCACACTTCCGTGCTGTGATGTTTGTGGTGCGGGCTGAATCGGAGTGCCAGATGCTTGGGATTGTGCTCGTGTGAGGTCGTTTTGCAGGGACGAGCGCTCTGCCGTCAGCGTCGCGATTTCCTTGGCGCTCTCGCGGATTTGTCGTAGCAGATCGTTCAAGTGCTCCTGCGTGAGATTTGTGACGTCGATGTGTTCAGCCATGTCGAAGGGCGTCGGCTCGTCTTAGTCTAGGCGTTGTCGTGGCTGCACGCGTTTACGAGAGAACGCGAGGACAGCAGCTCTTAGGTGCTAAGGTACGTGAGTCCCTTCGAGTGAAAATCAAAAGTTGATTTCCTGGGGTGCGGAGATGCGCGGTCCGAAAGAAAGGGGCACTGAAAACCAAGTGTTATGGGTGCAATGAATCGAAGTAGCGAGAATTGCACTAAGGTGTCAAACGAGTACAAAGATGTGAGCGAAGGCATGAGCGAACATTTATACGTGAAACATGCAAACGGTAACGCGGTGCGTGCGAGCTAGCTAGTGCTATGCTAGTAGCGAGGCTCGGGCTAGTCCCGAAGCGTAGGCCGACACGGCCGGGCCAGCAGTGCGAGGTTTGGCAATTTAACAACTTTGGTGGCCGGATTGCAGGCTGGTACGGAAAAGTTGTTAAAATTGCAGTTACTGAAGTAGTTTAGTACGTGCGACGGGGTCGCACTTTTGACGGGGATATTTCTCATTTGACGCGATCACAAATTCTGTCGCTGGGCGATACCGTGCGTCGTCGCAGGCGTTTGTCGCACACTGTGTCAACTACTTGGCCGTTTTGGAGTCGACTCGGCGTCGTTTTCGTGTTGACTTTTTAAACGGCCATCAAATTCGTAAATTTTTAACGAAATTTGCGACGGTCGCCACTTGACTTACAATTGTCGCAAACTGGTTACCTTCGCAGATAAGGCCCGACGGATTGTGGCCGAATTTTGGGAGTTTGCGCTTTAACACGCCCTTTGGAGTTCGGTTTCCTACGGCCTGTTAAAAAGACTTCTCCATGGTTGCTTGTAAGGGAACAAGTTTATGTGGTGATGTACTTTCTTTAGTTTCCTCAGTAAGAATGCTAAAAAACAACTTTGTCAAGACACTACTGCTGTACCGAGCCTCTCTGGTGGTGTTACTCGTTATAGTTCGTGAAATTGTACTCGTTACTGAACAAGCAATTATGTCCACTGGTCCTGCTTCGTTGGCAACGACAGCCAGTGAAAAGGTTCGTCGTCGATTATCAGCGCGGCGCGATTACGACCGACGCCCCTCTACCGTACCGGCCCTAACATTGATGAAGAATCCCAGGTGTGAACCTTTGCTTCGTGATCGAACCAAGGCTCCCATAATCACAGGAGCAACGCTGCCCGCGGATTGGGCTGATTCGGATTCACCCAATAGAGCTTGTTCCCACGTCTTGCCAAACCTGAAACAGCCACAGAATAAGCCTTGTCATCGGAAAATACAGCACTGCATTCTTGCTCTTCCCATTTTAGCTGAAAGCACTGCTTTATGCGTCGGGAGAAGAACCAACGGAGGTCCGTATTTTGTTGTGGTTCTCCTTAGTGTCGTGGCGGTCGGAGGTTTGAGCTGATTTTACTCCGCACAGTAGCATTATCGGCACGATCAAAGCCGTACGTCTGGTTCTGATCCGTCAACGCATCACAAAAGCCCCAACGCGACCCAAATTTGTGTTAGCGAAAGCTTTCCATTACTAACTTGGATTGCGAAGCTTCGATCAGTAGATTCAAGCATGGGTCGCGGAGGTCAGGGGGTCGCTGCTGTGAACCGTCGAGCGGTCAGCGAGGCACCGGCTGCTGATGCGAAGAGCAACAAAAACAAGAACAAGATTGCTCGAGCTCCATCGGTGAGTGTAGTTCTGAAATTTGTTGAGACATCTTAAAATTCAACAAGAATATCGCTCGAGCTCCTTCTGTGAGTCTAGTTCCGGTATCTGTCCCGTTTCGTCAGTCAGATTCCTGGAGAACGTTACAGATAACCATGGAAATAAGTCCCATTCGGTTCGATGCCGTTTGACTTTGTCAGAACAAACCGATTCGTGGACTAATCATTCAGAACAGTCAACTGTTGAAGACTTTAAGGTGTTTGATTGATCCTAATGCCATCTTAACCTCCTGTGAAATCAGGCCCATTCACCACAGCTGATCAGCCGTCGTTCCAGCTCCATTCCCTTCCTCGCCAAAACCCCATATCTATCTCACACTCATTTCCATTTGTCTCCCTTCTCCCCTTCCGCCTCCAGGCAAAGCCCCCCTTCACCCTGGGTGACCTGCGCCGAGCCATCCCCCCCCACTGTTTCCAGCGCTCCCTCCTGCGCTCCTCCGCCTACCTCCTCATCCGTCTCAAACTAAGTTCCAACGGCTTTCTTTCTCCCCTTCTCTCTGGCAGGCAAAGCCCCCCTTCACCCTGGGAGATCTGCGCCGAGCCATCCCCCCCCACTGTTTCCAGCGCTCCCTCCTGCGCTCCTCCGCCTACCTCCTTATCGATCTCGCCTTCGCCGCCTTATTCCTCTACGCCACCACGCGCTTCGACGACATCCACCAACTCGTAGATCCGGCCGTTGAATCGCGCCTCCCGGCGCATCTCCAGCCGTACGTTCGGCCGGCGGTGTCGGTGATCCTGTGGGGGCTGTACACGTGGCTGCAGGGGTGCGTGTGCACGGGCCTGTGGGTGATCGCGCACGAGTGCGGCCATGGCGCGTTTTCGGACTACGCGTTTGTGAATGACACGGTCGGCATGGTGGTGCACTCCTGGCTGCTCGTGCCTTACTTCTCCTGGTGAGCCTTGAAATCCTTCCGGCTGGGATATGAACCTTTCTAAGAGAAAGAAGAGCCTCTGGAAGTGTTCTTTGACGATTTCTTCCGATTGGGATGAGCTCTCTCTTAGTGATTGGCATACGTTAAATGTCAGGTCGAAATCTCTGGTAACTTCAGAAGGACTTGGGCGAGGTGGCATGCCTATCTTGAAGTTTGAACGGACAGAGACCAACGAAACCAACCATGTTAAGAATAGCTCCAAATTATACTTCATCAATGGATCCTTTTGCTTCTGCTTCCTCCCGACACATTTCCCCAAGGCGTTTTTTGAGTCGACTATGTCGTTCACAGAACCCCTGGGCCCTTCTCCAGCCCCACCAACATCTCCCATCCAACCAACTCAAACCCTTTCTCAGCTTCCTCACGCATTAGCTGACCTGATTGTCACCACCCGCTTTCTCCCGTGCTGAGGAGATCCAGTCCCGAGCGCCCACCGTCCTTTTGAGTCGACTCAAAAGTCACCTCGAGCGCCCACCGTCCTGTCTCCGCCCTCCTTGTTGTTGCGCCGGTAATACAGCCACCACCGCCACCACAGCAACTCAACACTCACCACCCTCTTCTCCTCCCCTCTCCTCCTCTTTCGCCTCCCCCTTCCTCTCCCCCCCTCCCCCCTCACCTCATTTTGGTTGCGCAGGAAATACAGCCATCGCCGTCACCACAGCAACACGGGCAGCCTGGAGAATGACGAGGTACGTGCTTGCATGCATAAGTAGGGTGGTTATAAGGGGGTGGGATTGCATGCGCACAAGTAGAGTGGTTATAAGTGGGTGTAATTACACTTGCAAGGCTGCAAGCTCGTAATGGTTCGAGTTGATGGTTCGAGATAAACTCACAACTCTCATTCTCAAAGCTTGATTGGTGACTTCTGTCGAAACGTCTCAAATGCCCATCTGTTGCACTTGTCGACTCAAAACTGAACCGACGGATTTCTGTTTCCCTCCCCAGCCCAGGCGTTCGTGCCCACACGAAAGGAGCTGCTGGCGGCAGACACGTAGTACCTGCAGCACCCCTTTGGTCTCCAGCACCCCTTTGGTCTCCAGCACCCCTTCCATCCTATTGACTTGTAACGTCATTCTCCTTCACTTGCGTCCCTCCTCCTCCCCACGCCAGGTGTTTGTGCCGGCGCGAAGCGGGCAGTCTCAGAGTACCTGCAGCACCCCTTTGGGCGCGTGCTCTCCATCTTCATCACGCTGACTCCCTCTTGCCCCCATTCCCTCTCCCCACGCCAGGTGTATGTGCCTGCACGTAGGGAGCAGCTGGGGCCAGTGTCGGAGTACCTGCAGCACCCCTTTGGGCGCGTGCTCTCCATCCTCGTCACGCTCACCCTCGGCTGGCCGCTCTATCTCCCTGCCCTGCCCCTTCCCACTTTCCCCCTCCCTCTTGCCCCTCTCCGCCCACATCCTCCCACCTCCCTTTTCCTCCTGCCTCCTCCCCACGCCAGGTGTTTGTGCCGGCGCGAAGGGAGCAGCTGGGGCCAGTGTCGGAGTACCTGCAGCACCCCTTTGGGCGCGAGCGTGTGAGCGTGCCTGTTCCAACACTTTTCTGTTATCTAACCTTCACGCCCACGCCAGGTGTTTGTGCCGGCGAGAAGGGAGCAGTTGGGGCCAGTGTCAGAGTACCTGCAGCACCCCTTAGGGCGCGAGTGTGTGAGCGTGCCTGTTCCAACACTTTTCTGTTATCTAACCTTCATGCCCACGCCAGGTGTTTGTGCCAGCGAGAAGGGAGCAGCTGGGGCCAGTGTCAGAGTACCTGCAGCACCCCTTTGGGCGCGAGTGTGTGAGCGTGCCTGTTCCAACACTTTTCTGTTATCTAACCTTCACGCCCACGCCAGGTGTTTGTGCCGGCGAGAAGGGAGCAGCTGGGGCCAGTGTCAGAGTACCTGCAGCACCCTTTTGGGCGCGTGCTCTCCATCTTCATCACGCTCACCCTTGGCTGGCCGCTCTATCTCGCCTTCAACGTGTCGGGCCACGAGTACAAGGGCGTGCATGCCAACCACTTCAGCCCCTACTCGGGGATTTTCTGCGATCGGGAGCGGTTCTGGGTGGTTGTGAGCGATCTGGGGCTGTTGGGAGTGCTCGGGTGCCTGTACTCCCTCGGCTCGGCCTATGGCCTCGCATGGGTGCTTAAGGTACGTACGGCTTTGGCTCAGCTGTAGAATGGTTCAGCATGGCAATCGCGTATCAGGGAGGGAATCTACAGAGAGTGCTCGGGTGCCTTAATCCCTCGGTTCTGCCTATGGCCTTGCATGGGTGCCTAAGGCCTTGCATGGTTGCCTATGGCCTTGCCAGGGTGCCTAAGGCCTTGCATGGGTGCCTATGGCCTTGCAAGGGTGCCTAAGGCCTTGCATGGGTGCCTATGGCCTTGCAAGGGTGCCTAAGGCCTTGCATGGGTGCCTATGGCCTTGCATGGGTGCCTAAGGCCTTGCATGGGTGCCTATGGTCCTGCATGGGTGGGTGATCAAGACACGGATGCAGCATGGCTGTGTGTGTCCGCAGTATCGCCCCTCGCCAGGTGCATGTGTGTCCGCAGTATCGCCCCTCGCCAGGTGCATGTGTGTCCGCTCTTCCTAGCGAACATGTTTCTCGCACTCACCACGCTGCTGCAGCACACACAACCCACCCTTACTAACGCTGCCTCTTCCAGACTCGCAATCCTTTCCCACACCCCAGATTCCTCCCCCCTCGGCCCTCTTCAGGTCTATGTTTGTCCTCTCCTGATAGTGAACATGTTCCTGGTGCTCATCACGCTGCTGCAGCACACGCACCCCGCCCTACGATGCCGTACAACTGTGCCCCTTCCCCGCCCCCGCCCTTTTCCTTCACCTTAATTCCTTCGCCCTCTCTCCGTTGCAGGTGTATGTTTGCCCTCTCCTCATAGTGAACATGTTCCTGGTGCTCATCACGCTGCTGCAGCACACGCACCCCGCCCTGCCACACTTCGACTCGACCGAGTGGGAGTGGCTGCGAGGGGCGCTCGCCACTGTCGACCGCGACTACGGCTACCTCAACATCGGTCAGTGAGCCCACAGTGCAGTGCGGTGCCGTGCGGTCTGGCGTAGTTCGGTGTGGTACGGTGTGGTGTCTAAGTCATTCATGCCTTGCCCACTAATCTCACCCTGGTTCTCCCTCGTTCCCCGCCCCCACTCCTCCCTCCTCCTTCATTCCCGTTACCCCACTTCCCCTCCACCACACACAGTGCACCATCTCATTGCGGACACCCACGTGGCACATCACATATTCTCCACCATGCCTTTTCTTCACTAACTGAGCAACACCATCCCTGCTGTATTTTCCCTCGGCCTCACACCCTCTTCCCCACTTTCCCCTCCCCCCGCCACCGCCACCGCCACCAGTGCACCATCACATTGCGGACGCGCACGTGGCACATCACATATTCTCCACCATGCCTCTTTCTAACTATCTGAACAACCCCTTGCCTGCTGTATGCCCCCCTGCTCTCCCCCCTCTCCCTCTCCCATCCCCTCCCACCACCAGTGCACCATCACATCGCGGACACCCACGTGGCGCATCACATATTCTCCACCATGCCGCACTACCATGCGGAGGAGGCCACCCGAGCCATCAAGCCAATCCTAAAGGATTACTACCAGTTTGACGGCACTCCCATCGTGAAAGCCCTCTGGCGGGAGGTGTCACAGTGCGTCTGTGTGAGTACCTACCAACCCTTCTGACCATTCCATTGTAGTCGTGCCTATTCATTAATCGCCTCAAACAGAGGAGGCAAGAGGAGGCCACACGAGCCATCAGGCCAATTCTTAAGGAGTACTACCAGGTCTGCCAGTTTGACGGCACGCCTATCGTGAAAGCGTTCTGGAGGGAGGTGTCGCAGTGCGTCTGTGTGAGTACCAATCCTCCAGACAATCGTAGTTGCGCCTATCGTTGAGGTGAGGCGCCTTAAAGTGAAGAGGCCACACCTGCCATCAAACCCATGATCAAAGAGTACCACCAGTTGGTGGTGAAAACGCTGTGGCGGGAGACTTTTGAGTCGACTCAAAAGTCGACTTAAGGTGAAGGGGCTGCACCTGCCATCAAGCCCATGCTCAAGCACTACCACCAGTTGGTGGTGAATCACACGTGGTCACCCTTGGTCACACGTGGTCACATTTGGTCACACTTGGTCACACTTGGTCACACGTGGTCACACTTGGTCACACGTGGTCACACCTGGTCACACGTGGTCACACTTGGTCACACGTGGTCACACTTGGTCACACGTGGTCACACTTGGTCACACTTGGTCACACGTGGTCACACTTGGTCACACTTGGTCACACGTGGTCACACTTGGTCACACGTGGTCACACTTGGTCACACGTGGTCACACTTGGTCACACGTGGTCACCGCTGTGGTGGGAGGTGTCTCGTCTCAGTGTGTCTGTGTTAGTATTGGCACTTTGGGACCTTTCCTTCCATTACCTACTGACTTGTTTCATCACTTGCTCATTCCCTAACCACCACCTCGCCTCCCACAATTGCTCCCTCATGCTTCCAACACTTTCTCCCTCGTTTCCTTCCTTTCACTCCGCCATCCTTCCCCATCTTTCCCCCCTACTCCTGCAGGTGGCTCCTGATGCAGATGGGCCTAAGGGCGTGTACTGGTATTCAAACAAGCTCAAGTAAATCAGCAACTAAGCTTCTTCCCTCATGAATCTAGTCTCTCTCTGCCACCCATCTCTCCCCATCCTCCCACCCAACCTTCTCTTGCAGGTGGCTCCTGACGCAGATGGGCCCAAGGGCGTGTACTGGTATTCAAACAAGCTAAAGTAAATCAGCAACTAGGCTTCTTCCCTCATGAATCTCCTCTCTCTGCCACCCATCTCTCCCCATCCTCCCCCCCAACCTTCTCTTGCAGGTGGCTCCTGACGCAGATGGGCCCAAGGGCGTGTACTGGTATTCAAACAAGCTCAAGTAAATCAGCATCGTAGTAAAAAATTACATGCCCCGGGTTCAAAGAAGGGTTTAACGAGCAGCAGGGGGTGGTGTGATAGTTGGGCCTGTTCTCTGTGACACATTATACATACCGTAAATGGCAGGCACAGAGAAGTGTATTCACACTTTCTCTTGCCTTGCCTAGTGTAAGGAAATTCCCTTTTCCTTACTTCGCGTCCCTGCTCAACGCGTACGTCACTGTAGCACCTCAGTCAGCACCGTTACCACTCACGACCATCGCATCATTCATTATCCCGCCCTCTTCGCACATCGCATCCCGACCTCACGGCTCGGCTGGTAACCCGCGCTCCGGGCCTACGCTTCGACACTTTCCCAACCTCAGCCCCAGGCTCGTCGCGCGACAACCACAGTCCATTACCGTTACCACTATTGTTTCGCTATATAAACCTTCGCTCATGCCTTCGCTCATTGTACTTTTGCTTCGATAGTGCAATTCTCGTTCGTTCACTCAATTGCACTCGTAACACTTGGTATTCAGAGCCTACGATCTCATCTCGGACCGCATCCACACCTTCGCTTCCCACTATCTCAATTTTTGGGGGGGGTAGACGTCTCTCAGCGACACAGCACCGCCGCTCGTAGTGCTCTCTCGCAAGCACGCACGGCCACGACCGAGGCTCTCGCTGAGCTTGCCCGACACCCCCGCCATGGCCGACCTCACTCTCGCCACGTTGACGCAGGAGCAACTCGATCGTCTCGTGCGACAATTGGAGGATTCGGCGCTTGAAATCGCGACGCTCACGGCGGAACGTGACTCCGCTCGTCAACAGTCAACGGTGAATGTTCCGACGACATCCCACGCACCAACCAATGTTTCTGTACATTCGGAGGAGCCGATTGTCATCTCATCCGGCACACCAACGCAACACAACAGCACGGGACAGCGCTCAGGCGCAGCCAGTGACGGCGCAGCCCAACCGATGCCCGGCATGGGAGGGAACAGGAGCACGCTAAGCCCACGGGAGCCCCGAGAAGCCCGTCGGCACGTGGAGTTTGCGACGACAAGTGGTGAAAACGCCATGATGGCCCCAATGCCACTCAAGCCGCAACGCCCGCCCTGCTTCGACCCAAGCCAACGCGGCGGCCCGACAGTTCAATCATGGGTCTTCACGATGAATGTGTTTTTCGACGCCAACTACGTCGAGTCGGACGCCGCCAAGATTCGGTATGCGGTTTCACTACTCAGGGGCCCCGCCATGGACTGGTGGCGAGTCATCGTGACGTCGCCACGCGCTTACGAGCCACCGTCGCACGAGGAAGGGCCCTCGGGTCCAGCTGTCACCTGGAGTTCGTTCTGCGAAACAGCCCAATACAGCACGTGGGATGCGTGGTGCGCAGGGCTTCGGGCGCGTTTTGAGCCGATCGCGGCTTCGATTTCGGCGCGTCAGAAACTGCGCACTTGGCGCCAGCTCGGGTCGGTTCAAGACTACACCAGCGGTTTTCTTGCACTTTGCGAACAGGTCGGCTACATGCACGAGGCGGAGCGGGTGGACCGTTACGTCGGAGGGCTGAAGCCGGACATATCGCACGAGATAATGCTACGCGGGCTATCGAATTTCAACGAAATCCTCGCGCTCGCCGAGAAAATCGATATCCTACGCCGACCGAGACCGGGGTCCTATTTCGGACATCGTCCTCGGGGACCGATCGAGCACGCCACTGTACATGCCGTCGCAACGAATGCAGCTGCCACGCCATTTAGAGGGCGCTGCTTTGCTTGCAACCGGCCGGGCCATCGCAAGAGCGAATGTCCAGAGGAGCTGAGGCGTCGAGGAGCAGAGCAGGGGAAGGAGTCTCGGAGGCAGGGAAACGCCAGCAGTCAGTAGAAGTTGGGCCAACTACTGACGAGACTGCCTGCTCGCCCAACCACACCGACCCTCACCGAGTCACAGTACCGATTCACGCCATCGATCGGGCTCGGATGAATAAGGAGGGTACAGCGACGGATTGCCCGGTACTGATCTACGGGAAAATACAGGGAGCAGCAGTGAAAATCTTCATTGACGGAGGGGCAAGTCACAGCTTAGTTAATACTGCAACCGCACGGAGATTACAGTTAATACTTAACCGATGTTTACCTGAGATAGATGCACGCTTAGTCGACGGCACGCCATTGGCCATACGAGAAAAAGTGGAGCGAGTAAAAGTCCGCTGCGGGGGAAACTTCGGGTTTACACAGGAAATGCTCGCAACGACGCTGGATGGGCACGACATTTTACTGGAACGTGATTGGCTGCGACGGTACAACCCACGGATCGACTGGACAACGGGGAGCTGCACAGTGCGAAGTAACGGTAACTGGGTCGTCCTACCTCGCTGGCGGCCACCTGAATCTTCGACAGTCCAGGTCAACGCCATCACGATGAAACGGGCTGTCGCTGCTGGAGCCGACGTGTACGCAGTGGATATCGCAGTGGTAGAAAAAGACGAGCAGCAGAATGATTTAAAGAAACTGCTAGCAGCCGTACCGACCGAATTACAGACACTACTGAAACGGTTCCCGGGGATATTTCCGGATGATTTACCACAGGGGCTGCCACCTCAGCGAGCGCACGACCACAGGATCGAGCTAGAACCGGGGGCACAGCCAACAGTACAGCGGCAATTTCGACTGACACAGCCGGAGCTCGACGAGTTAAGGAAGCAGTTAGATTACCTGTTAGAGAAGCAGTTTATTCGACCAAGCTCGTCACCGTTCGCCGCACCCATACTGTTCACACCGAAAAAAGACGGAGTTTTTCGCATGTGCATCGACTACCGAGCGCTTAACCGAGTAACAGTCAAATCGCGATACCCCATCCCCCGCGCCGACGAACTGATTGACCAACTGCGAACAGCACGTGTCTTTTCGAAAATAGATTTACGGGGAGGTTACCATCAGATTCGGGTCGAACCATCGGACTGCGCAAAAACAGCATTTAGGACTAGGTACGGGTCTTTCGAGTATACAGTAATGCCTTTCGGGTTGACGAACGCGCCTGCGACTTTTCAGATGACCATGAACGAGGCGTTTAGACCACTTTTAGATAAATGCGTGATCGTTTACCTCGACGATATCCTCGTTTACAGTCGGGATAAGCAGCAACACTTAGCAGATCTTGAAGCAGTTTTTAAGGTTTTAGAGGAACATCGGCTGCTCACCAAGGGCTCCAAGTGCGAGTTTTTTGGGGATAGGCTAGAGTTTTTAGGTCACGTCATTTCCGAGGCTGGGGTTGAGATCGACCCAAAGAAGCTGGATACGGTAAAAGCGTGGCGCCCCCCGACAAACATCACGGAACTGCAGAGTTTTTTAGGGTTTGTTAATTACGTTCGACGGTTCGTGCCCGACATGGCACGTTTAACAGCCCCACTAACTGATTTACTGCGTAAGGGGGTCGCTTTTACGTGGGGGGAGAAATAGCATGCTGCCTTCTCTGCCCTAAAAAACGTCCTCTGTTCACCACCCGTTCTACGTATCGCTGATCCCCACCGCCCTTTCGAAGTGGTTACCGACGCAAGTGACATCGCCATCGGAGCTGTACTGTTACAGGACTTCGGCAACGGCCTCCAACCCATCGCCTACGAATCACGCAAACTACATCCGCCTGAGCGAAATTACCCGATACACGACCGCGAAATGCTCGCGATCGTGCATGCATTCAAAGTTTGGCGCTGCTACTTGACTGGCGCAGACGTGACAGTACGGACAGACCACCGATCTCTACAGTACCTCCGCGCACAG